CGATCCCTGGGTAAGGAAGATCCCCTGGAGAAGGGTATGGCAACCCACTGCAGTATTATTGCCTGGAGAATTCCAGGAACAAAGGAGCCCGGCATCTCAAAGGGTCGGACACGACAGAAGCAATTTAGCATGCATGCGGGCACGAGCTCTATAATGGCTCCAGCTTTGTGCTGGGAATTTCTGGATCACTTCACACATCTATTTCACACAGGTTAATATTTCAGTGGCTTTATCCATGCAAATACAGTGATAAGTTTAAATGATTTTTTTAAAGTCCATGCAAAAGCTTCGTTTTTCCTTCTTGTAGAATACTAAAACCCTGTTTTTAAAGAATAGCTGAACAATATAAGAATCAGTAATACCTGGGCTGCACTGCTGGGGGAAACAGCAGGCAGTGCTATCTACAGGACGAGCTGCTGATGTGGTAACAGAGTTGCACAGTCCCTCAGTCATGTCCAACTTTTGCGACCCCATGGATTATAGCCCGCCAGGCAAATCTGTCCATGGAATTTTTCAGGCAAGAATATTGGAATGGGTTGCCATTTTCCTCCTCCAGGGGATCTTCCTGACCCAGAGATCTAACCCGCGTCTCCTGTGTTTCTTGCTTTGCCAGAGGATTCTTTACCTGATGAACCACTGGGGAAGCCCTGATAAAACAGAGACCAACACAGTCATGGAAGAATGGGTAACTCCTTGGAAGTTCCTCTTAAACTTTCCTTGTACCAGACTTTTTTTTTTGTATGTGTTATTTTCTAACCAGAATACACACACACACACACACACACAAAGGATGAAATCTTTCTCTGTTCATAATAAAAGCAATACTTCTGCCTGTGATGTTACTCAAAAAACTAGAAAAAAATCTCAAAGTGTTTCCAAAATCAAAATCCAGTCTGATCACCACCTGCTCATTCTCAAGTCTGATCATTAAAAAGTCATGAGAATGTGCCAAGAACCTTTATTCACAGTTAACCATTCCCTGAAATGAAAACAAAAAGAAAATCTAGAATTTTGACCCAAAACATCCTGGTCTGTGCACACAGTTTGAAGAGGCTTGGACTAGGGCACACCCATGGACTAAAGGTCACTGGAATTGCCAAGTCAAAATGTGACCTGTTCAGAGTCTCCTAGACCTTGCTGGGAAATGGTCACCATGATATGACTTTTGAGAAGCTGTACCACTCTCTGCATTAAGGGTTATGCATTATTAAAAGGCATCTCATTACCATGGAAATTATGACCTTGTCACCAATGCTATAAATGTCAAGAAATACCACTTTCAAAGAATATATTGTCTTGATTATAAAGAGAAGCCTCTTTGCTTAAAAAAAAAAAAACTTACCATTTTCATTGAAATCTTTTTATAAAAAAGATTTGTAACAAATCACGGCCATTTCCTAAAGCTCCTTATAACATACATATACACACACACACACATACATACATACACACACACACACACACACACACACACACAAAATATAAGGCAACATTGAGAAGTCTGAATTTTCCTCTGTAAATAACAGGTGACCTGACAATCTAAATTCTATTAAAGACTATATCATCTAAATAAAATATTACTCTTCACTAAAGAAGTACTCTCCAAACCTTAACATGTACACAATTTTTGTTGTAAGTATTGCTATTATTTCATTTTTTCTTAATTACTGTTAGTTTCTTAGTTGCTATTACACTACTATTTCTTAGCGTTTTAGAATAGATCACTTTTTAAAAACCTAAATGTCTACTTGACCTCAGAGATAATATTGGTACAGTTGACAACATTGATAAAAGGCTGCCAAAATAATATCCGTGGGGGCTTCCTTGGTGGTCCAGTGGCTAAGACTCTGCGCTCCACGTGCAAGGGTCCCAGGTTCCATCCCTGTGGAACTAGAGCCTAACATGCCACAACTAGAGTTCCTACGCCCCAACTAAAGACCCCGCGTGCTGCAATGAAGATCAAAGACCCTGCGTGCTGCAACTAAGACCCTGGGCAGCCAAATAGAGAAATACTGTTTAAAAAAAGAGGGCTAGAGGTGCCAGCTGAAAACACAAATGTGCCCCACTTCCACCGGATCAGGATCTCTCGGGGTAGAGAAGGGTCATTTGGATAATTTATTTTTTTTAAAGAGGTCCCGGGCAATTCCTCAATTATCTCTGCTTAAGAGAGTGGGTCTCCAAAGCTACGGAGATGCACGCCACGCCCCCCGTGTGGTGGGCGGCGGCTGGAGGGCCGGTAGCTCAAGGCGGGCACTGCGGGACTGGACCTGCGCGCACAGCAGTGAGCGTCCACTTAGCTTCAGGCCGTCTTGTTTTCCTATATAGCGACTTAGCGTCCCACTGCCATCCTTAGTGGTGGAAAAGGGGGTATCAGCGGGCATGAGCAGTGTTTCAGATCCTTTTTAGTTGGAGGGCAGCAGTTGTAAACTGTTTAATTTTTTAATTTATTTTTTAATTGGAGGAAAATTGCCTTATAATGTCATGTTGGTTTCTGCCGTACAACAACTCGGATCAGCCTGAAGTGAGTCAGAAAGAGAAAAACAAATATCCTATATTAATACATACATATGGAATCTAAACTGTTTTTTTAAGCTTACCATCGAACTCTTCATTGTTAGCAAAGTCAAGAGCTACTGCACCAATGAAACTTGCAGAACCTTCTGTACTAAACACAACCTGCAAAAACCTGTTCCTTTTTTCTTTTTTTTTGGTATGTTTAGAGTGCTGAAATATTTTTGAAGTTAAATAAACATTTCAGTTCAGTTCAGTCACTCAGTCGTGTCAGACTGACTCTCTGCGACCCCATGGACTGCAGCACGCCAGGCTTCCCTGTCCATCACCAACTCCTGGACCTTGTCCAAACTCATGTCCATCGAGTCGGTGATGCCATGCAACCATCTCATCCTCTGCTGTCCCCTTCTCCTCCTGCCTTCAGTCTTTCCCAGCATCAGGGTCTTTTCCAATGAGTCAGTTCTTCTCATCAGGTGGCCAAAGGATTGGAGATTCAACTTCAATAACAGCGTTACATTTTAATAAACAGTATTACATTTTGCAATTTAAAATTTGGGCTCCAAAATTTTAATCCAAAAATTAAATCCAAGGTATTTAATAGAAAGTATTACATTTTAAAAGAGAGAGAGAGTGTGGTTCACAAAGTGTGGCCTGCGGAACCCACTGTCCCAGCACCGCCTGGTAACCTTCTAGAAAGGCAAAGTGTCAAGCCTCTCCCCTACTTGCAGAAACTCCAGGGTGGGGCAGGGAGCCCTCCTGGTGATCCTGGTTCCTCAGTAAAGTCTGAGAACCTCTCGTTGAGAATAAACAGTAAACACAAGATTAAACACACGTGATGATTTCCCAAGTTTGAGATCAAATGAAAGCTCTCACACACTGGTTCTCAGGCTTTCGGCTTCCTTTAAAGGCCTCAGACCACACTGCAGACCAGCTTACATCAGGAGCACTGGGAGAAGAACCAGGCATCAATATTTTTTTTAAAAATGTACCTACCCAGATGTTTAATTAGAATAGAACAACTCTGATGCTTCATTCAAAGTTTTTTTAAAAAAATTATGACACAAATAGGGGCTTCCAGGTCAGTGGTAAAGAACCCACCTGCCATGCAGGAGACCTGGGTTTGATCCTTGAGTCGAAAAGATGCCCTGGAGAAGGGCATGGCAACCCACTCCAGTCTTCTTGCCTGGAGAATCCTACGGACAGAGGAGGCTGGCGGGCCACGGTCCAGGGGGTCGCAGAGAGTCAGACACGACTGCGCACACGTGCACACACGATAGAAACATGCTGGCTTTGCTCTCTGTCCCTTGCCCCAAACACATGAAACACGAACGTCCCCTTAAAGATGGTTTCTGTTTTATTCTGAAAATTATAAGGCAAAGAAATGACGATAAAACTTGTGCAAAGACGTTGTACATGCACAGTGACTACATGATATACTGGCAGGCATGTTTACAAATGTGGAGCTTCAAGCTTGCGTTTTTGAAATTTGTTTCAAACCGCCTAGTCGTGAGGCCACTGAAGCGTATTTTTGCGATTACGGAATGTATTTCTACACAAACACACATTTTTGTCAATAGGATATAGGACTTTTATCTTTTCAAAGAGGTCAAGTGTTAAGTCAGAAACATCTTTCAAAGGAAATGTGATAAAAGTAATGTCAAATTCAAGCACGTGATCTGTTCCAGAACAAAGTACCCCGTTTTCTCTCTTCAAAGGTTTCCAACAAGTAGGTATTAAACTTCATCTTAATGTTTAACACACAAATTTATTTTTCAAACTGCTGCTTTGAAAGCAAAGCCTGTGAATTCTGTGATGTCGTGGAGTTTCTTTTTTGATGCCACCCTACAAAGGCTGAGAGGCAGCGACTCCTGGTAGATTTTTATCCAGGCAAGAGGCAAAACTGAGTGCCCAGAGAGACGGCTCAGGGCGCTAACCCCAAGGCTAATTTGTCAGATCTACACTTCATCCGCTTCCCTGCTTTTGGTGAAGTTTATCCATCAGCCAATTTTTGTCATCTTCCCAGGAATCAGATGTCAGTCGATCCACTTTGCATCGCAAACCCTTTCAGAATCAGTGACCCAGTGGATCTCCTGCAGGAAGGGTAGATTCGAGGATGAGTTCTAAGTGGCTCTCGTTGTAAACAGTTTGCTTTCTTGCTGGGTCCCCGATTTGCTACATTTTGAATGCTGATATTTTTTCCTTAAGAACTTGTCCTGCTTCAGAATCTCCTACAGAGTGATGTCCACCTTTTATTTACTTCATTTCTGTCAGTTGCACTTGGGGCCACTGATTCTGAAAGACAGAAAACAGCTGGAACCAAGAGATCCTTTTTTTATGAAGACGGTGTTGAAAGCAAAAAAGGAAACCCTTGACACCACACCCCTCCTCTGCAAAATCAAAGCCAAAGCCGTCTTTGAAGGTCAAGAAACTGGTGGTGAAAGGCATTTGCAGCCAGAGAACTCCCCGGGCGGCAGTAGCACCCTGAGTACCTTTGGAAGAGCTCTCCACGGAGAAACAGTTTGCACCACTATGACCTCATCAAATTCCCCACCCATGGCCACAGGATGGAGAAGATTGAGGGCAACCCCCAACAGCCTTTGTGGAGGACCAGGACTTCGGGGCCAACCAGCACCCAAAAAGCTTGAAGGTATCAGCACAGGATATGGTCAAGGTCAGCACAGCCTCGAGGCCTGGAAGAGAGGATGCTGCCGTACGGGCACCCCCGATGGCATGCTTTGCCCTCTGCCAAGCTCATCGACGTCATCTACACTGAGTCCAGCTGGCTCGTTCTAAATACGTTCATTTTTTCCATCATTCAAAATGGAGGAAGGGGAGAAGAAATTCTGACCAGTCCAACAACACACCCAAGCTGTCCTTGCAAACCTTTTAAGGCTGTTGCCAACACACCCTTAATGGGAACCACATGCATGAGTGTGTGCTAAGTCACTTCAGTCGTGTCCGAATCTTTGTGACCCCATGGACTGTAGCCCGCCCTCCTCTGTCCATGGGATTCTCCAGGCAAGAACACTGGAGTGGGTTGCCACCTCCTTCTCCAGGGGATCTTCCTGAACAGGGAGCCAACCCACGTCTCCTACGTCCCCTGCCCTGGCGGGTGGATTCTGTACTGCTGAGCCACGTGGGAGGCCCAGTCCTCAGCTAATGAATCCTGATGGGGGAGCTCAGGGGATTCGGCTCTAGGGACACCCAGGCTGGGGACGTGAGCCCCCAGACTGACTGCAGATGGAGAGGGACTTCGGAGAGGGGAAAGACTGGGAATAATTTAAATATCATTGCATGAATTGACAGCCCCTTCTGCAACTTTCTGGGGGCTATTTCAGTAGTCACTTAAGTAGATCAGCTGCTAACGAGGGGCAGTTCTCCAGCACAGAAACGGCCAGCAGGCAGGAGATGGGAGGCGAGGAGACCTGGCATGCGGCTCGGGGAGCAAGGCTGCCTTCTCGTCATCTCATCCCGGTGGCAGCTGCTGCGCTGAGGCTGGGATGTTGACTCAGGGTCTCTGTACAGCCGCACACCTGGGTCCCCGTGCAGCCTGGCTGAATCCAGCCTCTTCATAACGTCAGGGAATGTCCTCCTCTGCCTTCCCGTTCCTCTCTCCCTAAGAGCAAAGAGAAACGATGGAAAGGAGACCTTTTGAAGACATGCTGTTCACGAGCCCACTTGTCACTCTGCTCCATCTTTCATATCCAGGAATTCAGCAAAGTATTTTCAGGACTCCACTACCCAGAGGATGGGAAGAACTCTCTCGAATACCAAGACTCAGCCATCTCCCTTCCCAGGATTTTTCAGATAAGTCATTGAAGAGGCACTTTCACCATTTAATACATTTCATGTCATTTTTAAGGCATTCAATTCTTCTGCCCCTCATCCTCAGCCCCTTTATTGAGTAACTTGCTATGTGCCAGGTATTGGGGACCCAGAAACAATTACGAGATAAAAGAGACAGCATCCTCCTTGAACAAGCCAAGTGCATGATGATCACTAAATAGTAAGTAATTTTTTTTAATTAATAGCAAGGGTAAAGTTTGGAATGTGCTGTATATAAGATATTATGGTGAGGAGTTGAGAGAAGAGAGTGGGACGAGTTGAGAGATAGGATTGACATGTGCGCACTCCTTGTGCAGAACAGATAGCCAGAGGGAAGGCGCTGCATGGCCCAGGGAGCTCAGCTAGATGCCAGTGACGGCCCAGAGGGGTGGGATGGGGGGATGGGAGGTTCGGGAGGGAGGGGCCATAGGTACCCATACAGCTGATTCACTTCACTGTACAGCAGAAATTAACACATTGTAATGCAGTTATGCTCCAATTTTTTTTAGATTTTTTTGAAAAGGAATGAAATAAGAGACTAGCATCCAGGTTGGTATTAATTGTTACAACCACTTTGGAAGTAATTTTTTCATATACAATCAAATTCAGAGGGTAGCACACCCTACATAGTATCAAATAAAGATCATTTGAAAACAAACAAACAAAAATTTTAGGGTTATATATCTTCTGTTTATTTATCTTTAAAAACAAAGAAAGAAAGAAAAAGATATTTTGAGAACAAAATACCTACCTGGCATTGATGGGAAAAATGAGGGGAGGTTTCTGTGAAAGATGGAATAACGGTCCTTCCACGATGTCGGTCACCTAGTTCCCTGAATCTGTGACCTTGGGGCTGGGAGTAAGGAGTCTGCCTGCCAACGCAGGAGATGTAAGAGATGCGGGTTCGATCCCTGGGTTGGGAAGATCCCCTGGAGGAGGACATGGCAACCCACTCCAGTATTCTTGCCTGAGAAATTCTATGGACAGAGGAGCCTGGGGGTCTACAGTCCATGGGGTCATTTAAGAGCTGGACATACCTGAAGCAACTTAGCAAGTGACTAAATTAGATTACACAGCAAATAGGAATCCAAGCTAGAGACTGTTTGCTCATCAGCTGAGTTTAAGGTCAGAAGTGCTTTCTGGAGAGTCGGGCGGATCCAGTGGGGTCCAAGCGGTCTTTGAAAGTAAAAGGGGGAATTAGAGAATTAGAGGAGGAAAGAGAAAAGGGGAATCAGAGTAACCTGATATGTGGGAGACCAGCCTGTCCTCGCTGGGGTGAGTGGAGGGTTGGGGCTGAGGAGAGTCAGGGATTCTAGAAGCTGGAAAAGCAAGAAGCAGCTTCTCCGCAGACCCTCCGGAGAGGAAGACGGCTTTGCTGACTCCTTGACTGAAGCAGTGTGACCCTGCCAGACTCCTGCCCTGCAGAAGTGTAAGAGAATCAATCTGTGGGTTGTTCTCAGCCACTAAGCGTGTATTACGGGAGCAGCAGGAACTAATGCAGTTTCTCTAAAGGGCTGACGTCTGAGCTGAGCTTCCATGGAGGAGCACTGAAGCCCAGCTGGGCAGGAGAGTGATAAAGCACATCCCACTTGAACATGGTCACAATTAGGTTCCTGGACCCAGGGCATAAAGGTGAAGGCAGGCAGGCAGTCATGGGAACTGGGGCTGGAGCTAAAGTCGAAGCCGTACCGCGGAGGGCCCAGCGACCACACAGCTGTCCACTGACCTCCCCACCTTAGTCAGATGGACCCACTGGCCATTTCGAAAATGTCCTGTGACCTTTCAAAGCTTTGTGCTTTTTGTCACACCAGCCCTTCTACATTGAATAACCCTCCAGCCTAGTTCAAACCTTACCTTCAGCTTCAAAGGGAAATTCTGATGTCCCCTGATCACCATGGGAAAACCGTCCTCCCTTCCTGAGAACTTCTGCAGCCTTTTCGGTTGCTCAGTTCTGACTCATCACCCTACTGCCTTGACGGAGGGTTGCTTGTGTCTAACTAGATTCGTGTCTAACTCCTATTGCTCTTCTCAGCTTCTTGCCTCCAGAACAATATCTACTTGTTTCATTCTGCATGACTGCTCTTCGGGTGTCATGATAAACAGCCCTTGATAAAGTGTTTACAAACAAACAAATAAAAGGATGACATAGGACACAACAGACGCCCTCCAGTCTGGAGAGAAAGAATGTGTCTCTGGTGTATGAATCGAAACAGTAGGTTAGGCAGGTAATCATGACCAGTTACTGCAAGTATCTTAAGCACTTTGTTTAACACACAATATCTATTCACCAGACTTTTTGAGCTTGGGTCTCCTGATATCTGTCCGGTCTTGTCTCTTCACAAAAATTGTCCCACAAAACATCTGTATGAGTTTGTCAAGGCTGCCATAACAAAACACCACAGGCTGGGCGGCTCAAGCCGAAATGGATGCTGTCACAGTTCTGGGGCTGGAAGTCCAAGGTCAAGGGGTCAGATGGTTTGGTTCTTCCACGGCCATGCTCCATGGCTGGTAGACAGTGGTCCTCTGCCTCTTCACATGGTCTTTTCTCGGTGTCCAGCACTCCCGTATCTCTTCCTCCTCTTAGGACCCCAGCCGTACTAAGTTAGAGCCCCACCTTAATTACCTCATTTTCACTGAATCACTTTTTTAAAAGCGATTGCCAGATGCATTTGCATTCGGAGGTACTAGGGTTTGGGGGGCTTCACCATTGGAATTTGGGGGAGACACAGTCCATAACTGCACAAAATATAATGTTCTGTTTCATTTGCTTTAAAAATAGATCAAGAACTACAATTTGAGTACAGGCTCCCTCTAGATTTCTACATTTTTCTGTTGGCCTTTCAAAAGTTTCTCTCCCACATCTAATTCAATGGCCATGTTTCACTTTTCCTGTAGCAACTCTCCAAAGCAATCGCTTCTGTTCCACAGAAGTAACAATCCTCTTCTCATATTCAGATGTCATTGTTTTGGTGGTGTTTAAACTGCTAAGTCAGGTCCAACTCTTGGAACCCCACGGACAGAGGAGCCTGGCAGGCCACAGTCCATGGGACTCTCCAGGCAAGAATACTGGAGTGGGTTGCTATTTCCTTCTCCAGGGGATCTTCCCAACCCAGGAATCGAACCCAGGTTTCCTGCACTGTAGGTAGAGTTATAAGGGAAGCCTTCTAGTTAATTAAGTCATTTAATTACAATGGAAAATAGAGCTGGTATAAACAGGTCTGGGAACAAATACAACCCACTCTTAGTAAGCTTGTAATGCAGCCTTTCAGGTCTGTGAATCGTGTCCCTTTAGGAGCCTAAGAACACAGCAAGGGCCGAGGAGAGGAAGAGCAAGCAGCGATCCGTGTTCAGCACATGGAGAGCTGAGCCGCTTGTCTTGTGGCACCAATGGAGAACCATCCAGGGGGTGGACTTCGAGAGCTTTTATAGAAACAGAACCCAGGAGCTGGATAAGACCACAGTTTCACTTTCCCAGCCTCTCTTTCAGTAGAAGTGCTATATTGGGTTTATGAGGTTCTTTTTAACTCTAAAGCTTAATGACTCAATGCAGATCCCTGACAGTGGTCATCCAACATCTGCTGGATTTTGTCCAGCCAGGGGGGCCCTATCTGCTCATGAGGCAAGACTATTCCGTTTTCAGGTATTCTAGTTAGTGAGAAACACTTGCTTCTCTTGAGGCATTCTGTGCTTCCTTGCAACTTCCGTATATTTTAACCCTCAGGAAAGTTAT